CACTTGGAAGAGCTCATATAAACAACTAAGGAATATATCCTATGGCAGACACCATCTATTCTTAGAGGGTAGCAGTGTATACTGTTCATAGCAATGAGTTCTTGAAGAATTTCAAGTACACTACAATTGATCTAGTTCAGTTTTTCTAAACACATCACCGAATACAAATGTTCAGATCACTGACTTTTCATCAGTTTAGGAAGTTGTTTGTAGAGTTGGTTAGCTCAGTTATTGGATTTTTTTCTTACAATATAAGAAGCCAGCATAGCAGATGTGTGGGTTGTACTGCACGTCTAGTTTTAAACAGAAATGTTAGTCTCATGTTTTGCAGTACTGAGTGCCCAAATATGTGCAAAGGAAAATATAGTCCACAAAAGCAAATACAGTCCTGAGGTTCTATCACATCTGCAAAACTAAATATACTTCATAAGAACAGAATGTCTCCTTCAGATTTTCAGTTCTAATCTCCCTCTAGAGACAGACTTTAGCAACTGATCTATGATTCTCATTCAGGCCAGACTACTTTTTTAGATGCCTGGACAAAGATCTCTCCAGTGAAGGGCTTCAGTTCTGCAAGGAGAGAAAGTGAGCACATCTGAAACTTAACCTGTTCATCCTCAGTCCATAGAGAACCATAAAAACACAGCTTCTCTGACATGAAGGTGAAGTCACCTGCATGTTCATGATGAGGATGTAGCCTTCCCTCTTGTAGTTGCTGTCCTGGTAGTAACTGTGTCCTGTTAGCTTTGCTAAACCTCTGCGTGTTGCTGTGGGCTGCTTTTTGTGAAGTATCCCACTCTGTCAGATTTGCCAGCGGAGCCTACCTGATGCTTGTTGACTGCCCTACAGACACTCCTTATGTTCCCTCCTACCCGCTTTGGCAGCTAACTTGAAGGTTCTTCTGGAAGTTCAAAGCTAAATCCAGCCCCACCCCACCCCCAGCAAAAATAAAGTTATCAGTCCTGGCAAAGACTACCTTATTTTGTTAATGCTAATTAAACTAAAAATGATATGTAATCTAGGTAGTTTAGGCTATGCAATTGAGTGAGGATAAACAGACTGAGGCATTAAAATGCCTTGGTAGTGTGGTAAGAGATAGTCACAAGTCATAAAATAGTGACACATGTTTAAAGAGCACTGTAATATGCTTAAAAGTCAGTGAAATATGGCGGCTGTGGCCCTCCTACTATGTTTACTGAGAAAACCTTCCATTTATTTCCAAATGACTGTTACTTTTGAAGAGGTTTTAATCATGAAAGCTGATTTGATTGGCAATGTCCACATTGAATCTTGTTGAATAAACAGTATGGCACATTTTGCTAATTAATTGGAGAAAGCTGAAGAAAAGATTAAGCAAAAGCAATCAGACTTTTTGAAAAGTCTTGGTATAATCTTCAAAGCACCATTTAACATAAACTGTGTTTCTTTTGCCAACTTGCTCGTTTACTTGTAGCAAATACAATAGTAATGACTGTCAGTTAAATTTTTGTACTAATCTGGAATACAAAGTCATTGAGTGAAGTCATGTATGCTCTGCATGACTTGTGGAGGCAGTGAAGAGAATTCTTAAAGCAGAAAAGTAATTTGGCAGAGTGGCTGCTATAAACCCTTCAGTGCCTGCTTATTATTGAACCAGTTTTTTGAACCCACAAATTATAAAGCTATGGAATACACATTTGCGTCATTTTACATAAACTGCTGTCAATCTAGCCACCAAACTGCAGATCTGCATGAAGTATTAAAGAGGACATAAGAGAAGAAAGCTGAATGACAACCAATTTATATGCCGTTTTATTCCTGGACACCACTTTGCCCACGCAACATATGTTTTGTGCTGAGTTTAGAGGCACACGCATGTCCATTGTGTTGCATTAGTCTAACACAACAAAATAATTGATGCAGATATCAAACCTATACGGTTTGAGAGAAACAAAAGAGAATGGAAAGAAAAGGCAGACAAAGTTTTATTGCTTGCAAGCAAAACAACAATGGCATTATAGTTACTTCCAGTGGCATAATTACTGATATAGTTCATCGGGTGTGCATAAAGACAGTCAATGCTACTGATGCTGTAGCAGTGTTCTGCAGTGTAAGAACACCTGATGCACACCTGAACAAATAGCTGGGGAAGAACAATGACATTCTCTATGTCTGAAACAGAAGATACTCCCACGTTATTCTGAGGTCTGATATTGCAATAGAAAACAGTTGCTTTTGTTTATTTAGAAAAAGCTGTCCCCAAAAAGGTGTTTGAGTTAAGAATGGGAAGACACTGACACAGAGCTCCTCCAAGGCTCAAAAAGCGATCTGAGGTGAGGCCCTTGGTACCACACCTGTAATATCCCACAAGTCTGATTTCGAAGAGCAGTGCCAGCCAAGACAAGAGTAGAGCTACAGTTAAGAGACACCTTGCTGTGACTTATTTCCCCCAAACATTCCCGTGCTATACTCGGCCACAGGAATGCTTGAATAAAAAAAGGTGGCAACTGAGTAGTATGCAAACTATGAATTAAAAATTAACAGTCCCAATGAATTAAAAAAAAAAAAATCCCAACAGTGAGTGTCACTAGTATCTGAGACCAGCAGCTAAAAGTAAATCTTTCCAGAGCCAGACAGCCTATCGCAGAACTTGGCTAGTAGCATAGCCTATTTCAATCTGATTACTACGAAATGAGGATTCCTACTATTAGGCTTTAATTTAACTCCTTTCAACAACAGTTCAACCTGTTCCTCACTAGAATCCTATTATGCTTTTCCAGTAAGGTGTTAAGAGAACAACTCAGGCTTACTATTTATGGAGCTAGTGACTCTTAAAATATACTCTGAAGTAAGTGGCTATTCCTTTAATCTGTGACCTTAAAATTCAGCAAGAGTTGATGTTTTGTTGCTCTTGTTGCTCTTACGTACTGAGCTGCCCATCAGTCACTGATCCAACAGGGCTAGTGCTGTACCATTTGCTCACATTGCTGCTGAACATGGTGGCAGCATAGCTCAGTGGGGACATCCACTGTGAATTAACCTATATTGAGTTGTCAGTCAACCACTGTCCCCCTCACCAGCATCCTCACTGTAGGGCTAATAATTATCTCTTGTTAAAACTGAAGCAGATTAAGGTGAGGAAGTTCAACAGGAATGGTGAGGACAGGGAAAGAGAGCAGGAGGTTAATGACAGCAGCCAAAATGGAGCTCTTTCAGCCAGATAAAACTTAACAGTAACCAAAAATGGAAGAACAACAAATTCCTCTGCAAAGTTGCCTCACATCAGACGTCACAGAACAGCCCAGGGCATGACCTTCTGCCCAAGACAGGGTATGCCCATGAGCTCAAAGCCTGCAGGCATGCAGGGAAGCACACACTCTTTTGACTTCACATCTGTCATGATGCTTTGTTTCCCTCTCCTCCAAGCCTTGATTTCTGCTTCCTAACAATATCGCTGCCTTGTAGCCCTTTAAAAGTAATTAGAAAAAGGGAAAGCATGAAAATAATAATCAGTAGCAAACATCAGGAAGCAGACCTGCTCCATTCAGGATGGAGTCATGACCTCTGTAAATGCAAAGCTATCAAACGGAACTTTCTAGATCACTTAGAAACACATCATTAGTCCTTGTCACAGTGGGACTTAGCTTACTGTGGAAAAGTCATTAGTTTCTTTCAGATTCTCTGGAGAATTTCCAAAACCTAGCCCTTGCATTTCCTCATGTTCGTATGTAACTTCATATTTCAGCCTTTGTTAGCTGATACAGTACGCGTTGTTCCAAGCTTAAATTCATAATTACAGTAGCCTACTAAGGCAAAACAGCCAGGTGCTCTGCAGTCGTGGCTTCCACTTCTGAATGGAATTAGGCAATACCAAAATCATACTTACATCAGCCCTCCACTGAGGTTATAAAGTCTTTGGAAGGCATCTTAATTTAGGGAGCTTGTATACACAGCCTGCTCGTAACATGACAATCTTAACAGCTACGCTATGTGTGAGGCCATTAAGGTTTCACTTCAAACATTGCATTAAAATCACTCTGACCTTTAAATGGAGTTCAGTGGTGGTATTTAGTAGTCTTTTGATAAAGTGTAAGGTTAGCTGTTTACATCACGGCAGCTTGCTGGCTGGCTTTTGAAATGACCTTCAGAAGTATCCATTGTGTATTTTCTTTCCCAAGTATCATGACTGGAACCACGGCTCTTAGCATTTTGTGGGTGCAGTCATACTACCGTCTATGGTTTCATTATCTTCCTTTTTTGCAGGGCCAGAGTGCATACCACCTGACTCCAGCCTTAGAAACCCTAAGCACAAAGCAAATGTTAATTTCTCTTAATGACACAAAAATTCAAATTTTCCTTGGTCTACTACTCACCCAGAGCTCTTCCTAACTTCTTCCTAGGAGAATGTTACCTTCCCATGGTTGGGCAGCTCTGTATTGTGTGAGCCTTTTTCCCAGGAGGCTTTATTTCTAAGGTTGCTGCCTGCCACACGGTCCTTTAGGAGGCTATAATTCCCAGAATTCCTACAAGACCCTCAGCTTTTAGGAATGCTGGTTTTAATCTAGTCCACACCTTTTCCTTTTTATGTTTTGTTTCTAAGAAGAACCCATCCTTGCAGATAAAAAAGCACTTAATTCTCTTGTGATTGTGGATCAACTCCAATGAAATTAGGTTTTTAAAAAATAATACTCCAGATGAATCTTGGGTACAAGAGAGATTCAGAATGTTCATGTCTCCCGATGGCTGGGAATCAATTTCACATGGCATTATTGTATGTGCCTATCTTTTAAAGAATTTAATAATACAAAATGATCAATGAGCCTAGAGTTGGGAAAGCTAAAGTTTGTTCAGTTGCGAAAAGCAAGATACTTGCAGTGTGGCTTTAGTAGTGATATGTCTGCGTAAAATAATGTGCTTCTTTTTCTTTTCTCTCTTTCAGCAAAGTTTCTGTTTGAGAAATACGCCTTCACTCAGCAAAACAAAAACAACTTCTAAAGGTTGTTCTCGGTGGAAATCACTCTATGCCCCATTACGTGCTTGAGTGAAACCAGACTAAGAACTTCTGTCATGGCAGCTTTTCTGCTGGGAGCTGTGTTGCTTATTGTTCAACCTCAGATAGTGCCTTCCAGACCAGCTATAAATTCGAAGGCTGAAACTTCTTCTCAGTCTGTTCAGAGAGAACTTTTAAAGAAAACATCTCAAAAAAATGACTTCAAGGAAAACATTCATTCTAATGGATCATGCCGGCAGCTGCCACAGACTATCATTATTGGAGTGAGAAAAGGTGGAACAAGAGCTTTGTTAGAGATGTTGAGTCTCCATCCAGATATTGCGGCAGCAGAAAGTGAAGTTCACTTCTTTGACTGGGAAGATCATTACAGAAATGGATTGCAGTGGTATATTAATCAAATGCCATTCTCTTATCCCCATCAGATCACCGTGGAAAAAACTCCAGCGTATTTCACATCACCTAAAGTGCCTGAAAGAGTTTATAACATGAACCAATCAATGAGACTACTCCTTATTTTAAGAGACCCAAGTGAGAGAGTACTATCAGATTACACCCAAGTGTTCTATAATCACATGCAGAAGCACAAGCCGTATCCATCCATTGAACAATTCCTGATTAAAGATGGTGAACTCAATGTGGACTACAAGGCAATAAACAGAAGCTTATACTACATTCACATGCAAAACTGGCTGAAGTATTTTCCTCTTGATCGAATCCACATTGTAGATGGGGATAAACTAATCAAAGACCCCTTCCCAGAAATAGAGAAGGTAGAGAGATTTTTGAAGTTATCACCACAGATAAATGCTTCAAACTTTTATTTCAATAAAACTAAAGGCTTCTACTGCCTAAGGGACAGTGGTAGAGAGCGTTGTTTACATGAGTCAAAAGGACGAGCACACCCACAAGTAGATACCCGGTTACTCGAGAAACTGCATGAATATTTCTATGAACCCAACAAGAAATTTTTTGAGCTTGTGGGCAGAACATTTGACTGGCACTCATTTGTGGCAAGTTAGTGGTAAGCTTCAGAACCTATGTTCCAGTGTACATTTAGAAATTTTAAAAAGGGCATTTAAGCTATAATTTATTTGTAAAATCCATAAATACTTCTGTACAGTATTAGATTCACAATTGCCATATATACTAGTTATATTTTTCTACTTGTTAAATTTGAAAGCATTTTGTATTGTTTTTCATGGTTGTTAACATTGTGTATGATGTGTCTATATGATGAAACTAAATTATTTCACTGCAGAAGATGCTCTCTTGAGAATGTGTTGTCTTTTTAATAAATAAGAAATTCATTTCAACCCCTCAGAACTATTTGAATACTTTGGCCTTTCTGGACTACTTCTGGACTTTTTCCTCTAATTGCTAATGAATATGCTAAACTTTATATTTCCATTTTTCTTTCTTTAAAATGTGGTTTAATAATTTCTTTTTCATTTGAATATATTGTTGTTGTAGTTAGCAAATTGTTCCATCCTGCTTTATAAAATTATTTCCTGATAAAGTGGTGGTACTTATACATGTTGGGACATGCACACCCAAAGGATAATGGAAGTCTCTGTGTAATATGATATATTAACTGCTGTACTTACCTTCGTATTTACTGTTATAACAAGTGCTTCTCATTCTTTGGCAGTACAGTGCAGGTTTCTTGACAGATTCTTAAAGAATCTGTGGGGACCAGCTCATAAAATCCAGAGTTAGCTACAGAAATATAGTCAACCCGTAAACTTCCTACAGTCTCTGAATGTATATATACTTCATAAAGAAGGAGGGTTGAGAGAAGAATTTAAGCGATATAGGGACATTTTCAAAGTTGCCTATGACCATTCCTACATTTTATAGCACACTTATGCTTTGCCATCACTGAAAATGAACACTTAGACCAGAAAAATTAGTTGGTCTACATTCCAATAAGCATCAACTTCATTCATATGAGTATTATCATGCTTATACCCCATTTTAAGGCTGATTTCTAGGAGCTAAGCAGGTGCTTCATGCAACTGAAAATTGCCCATGGACTACCATTCATTTAATCTCCTTCCAAGAACCAAGATGCCAAATTTTAATTGGACTTGTGTGTTTTAGGTTTAACCCCAATTCCAGGAACTTTTATGGTCTTCCATCTGCTAAAAATGAAAGTTGGATGTTAGTACACTGGTAAAAATTATACCTTTCTTTGCCTACAGTAGTTACGATGTCTTGTTAGCCATCAGCTTCTGGAGTTAGAATTAATCCTGTTTCCACACAAGGCTTACTATGGTGCTTTCATTCTGAGCACCTAATTTTCATTTTATGATCTTGAGTTTAGCTCTTGAATGTGCAGTGGCAACACGCTGTAAATTTGAACTTGTAACTGATTGTTACAATCCTTGATAAAATTTAAATGTAGATTGATTAATTTTTTTCTGGTGAGATGGTGCAAACTTGGGCGCTATAACAAGGTACCGTCTGGATGCAAATATCCCATATTATGCTGTTTGCATGAAAATTTGCAGATGCTGCCCCTCTCTCTCCCACTCCTTGTGCACCTGCCCAAGCTGTATTCAACCTCAGAGAGGTTGGTGGTGTTTTACAAAGCAGACCTTTGATGAAAACCTACAATGAAATGGTATTGTACTCAATAAAATATTTTTTGAATTGCATCTTTCCTTTCTCTTTTGTTCATCATTTTCTAGTTTGGAAGACCAGAATTTAGGATTCAATTCCAGTTTAGATTCCAGTGAAATGTTACTTGAGACTTTAGCTGTAGCCTAGTGGATTGATTGGAAAGCAGTTGTTTGCTACTGGGTGAGTCCTGCATAGTCCATTGCTGACCCAGAATATACAACAAGAAGGGAAAGTTTCTGGTGGCAACGTCAAATCTTACATGAGGCAGATGCCAAAAATAACAGGATTATAGTACCATTGTGCTCCTACTAAAGTTTTAGAAATGGGGTTTTGTGTAAGGTGGGAGAGTGTTTTTTTCTATGCTTGTTATCCCTTTTCTATGCTAATGTGATTTCTTCAGGAGCCATCTGGACCTAAGAGAATTTGGCTCAGATGAAAGGCTTCCTGCCTTAATATAGTCCCGCCTTCACTGGTGCTTCCCTACAATCCCAGACTAAGCCCACCACATTCACCAGCTTTTTGCTGGGAAAGGAAAAATACTACCAGGGTATGTGACCAGGGCATAAGTGTTGAATTGTGAATGCCAGAGCAATATTGACACCTGATGTTAGTACCAAGAATACTTTTAGATGTGTAATGCTACTTGATACCAGTATCTTGCCTGTCACTAAGCAGGATAAATGCACGTGTTTCCCCCCCGCTGCCCAATACGGCTTGTCTCTGTAGAAAGAGTATTAGTGCATGAACCATCGGGTCGTTATTACTGTGTTAGTACTAGGACCTCATAGCATGTTCTATGTAGGATCAGGAGGTGAAGTGACCACTTCGGGCGGACATCCTGAAGCAGAAGCTCACATGACTCATGCCTTAGACCCTAAGTTCAAAGGGGCCCACAGACGGCACGTCATACTGAATGTGTATGCCTTGTGCAGGGATGGCATGATTTTACAATATCCTGGAGGTTGCACAGCTAGATGTGTGGTAGCTATGATGGTGATGGACAATAAATCACACCCACACTAATAATAATGGTAATATTTACCTGCCATAGATGCCCTAAGTTCAAGAGTTACAATACTTGGAAACTAGGATTCTGAGTGTGAATTTTTAGTTTTACAAGAGCAACATTCACTTTCCACACGTGCATTACTGTATTTAAATGTATTTGCTAGGCTGTTTCTGAAGAAGTGCTAAAGAACAAAAGCCAGCAGAAGGAAGTGAAGAGAGAATGAAAAAAGAGGCTGAAGCGCATTCCGATTGGGACTGTGGAAACATTAACAGTGGGCTTTGAAGTCATGCCATATCTATTCATAAAAGAAAAAAAAATCCCTGAAAATACCTTTCCAGTGTTATGCAATACAGGTATTTATTTCTATAGAACTACCATCTCAGATTTAAACTACAACTGCTTGGGTGTTGCTCCAGAGGCCTATTTCCTCAGGGCAGCTAGCCAAGCCTATGAATTCAACATCTAATTCAAAGTCTACCACTCCCCTTGAGTACAAGAAGAAATGCCAATCAAGTCATTAATCAGGGTGGCACTGCAGGACCAAGTCTTGCCCTTTGCTTCACAACACGGATTAACGTGAGTCTTTGAAAGCCAGATATTGTACCTGCAGAGAACAAAGTTTAAACTATAATGATTATCCCATGAACACTGCTGAAAGAGTACAGAAAGGGAAAGAAGTCTCCTAGTGAAAAAAAAACCCAAACCAAAAAAACAAACCACAAACAAGTTATTACTTCATCAAGAATATTGCTACATATACTGTTGGTGCTGTATGATCCTTTCACATGTGCTTTGCTGTTCCTTGTACCTTTTTCCTGATGTTGTAGGTGAAATAACATCTACTGTGCTTGAATAAATCAACATTGTTTTGGAACATCTCAGAAAAAATATCCATCCTTCTTTTAATCATGCTTGACCTTATCTGCATTGGGAATATGGTAGTGCTACACTCACTGATGATTGTGTGAGGCTTACCACTACAGAATATTTTAGATTAGAACTTCGTTACTTTGGGGCTCAAGGATGATCATTTCATGGTTCCTTGTCTACGTGCATTTTCAGTCTGTTTCCTTAGAAAGCCAGGATTCTCATTCCCTGTGGTCATCCACAAGATTTCAAATGTCTAAAGAGAAATAAGATGGGTAAGGCATATTTCCATGTATCTTTCTTCTGCTTTATCTAGTGTGGCTGACCAGACATTTAAGAAAGTTCACACATGCACCCCACAAGTAAGACGCTGTACATCAAAACTACTTCTCAGAGGCATATCCCTTCTTTCTCTTTTTCAAAGGCTGTGACTTGAAAATCCTAATTTAGCTCACACTGTGAATGAAATTTTCAGGAGTGTATTAGTAGATGTTCTCTAACACAGTAATAAAAGTACAATAAGGCAAAAGTATTCATTTAAACTAACATATCAACAAAGCGTGTTGAACTTCTTACTAGGTATATACAAGCAGAAATAGTTGCAAGTATGTGCACCTACAGCTGTAACATTATTCTTCTCTCGTTCTTAACCCAGTAACTTTTATTTGTATAACTCTGCCTAAGTGCCCAGTTATGCTAGAAAGACTACATGTTCAATGTTAATTCCTTCATTTTGCAATCACATTGAAAAGGCAAGTTACAGATGGAAGTCATGCAAATATCTTATGAGTGAAAAAAACTTTTATTAATATTTTGCTTACCAAAAATAAATGAAATTGCAGTTACATCTTCTAGAATATTAGCAAAAGAGAGCAGTACTCTCTTCTCTTGCAACAATAACACATCCACAGTAATTTTTCTACTTAACTACCACACAACTGTTGATGCAGTTTTTAAGTTAATAGTGCAATAAACTCAACAGTGATGCTGCAGATTTTAAATGCCTTCTGGGATATATAAAATATGCAAGTGAGGGTGGGGAGCAGCTGGATGCATAGGAACAGCTGGTCTCATTGGTCTAAGAACACTTTTTTTAATGGTAAGGGATGTGAAATTTTGGCTTGGATATCACTTTGTGTTGTCTATGAAAGCAATGTCTTCAATTAACTTCCAAGTCAATAATCCTATCATAATGACATCATCTTTTTTACTTGCTATTGACATTATGCTCTGCCAAAACACAGTTTAAGAGCCAAACAGCAGGTGCATGAGGGATCCCTTAGTATATAAAAAAAAATTGTAATACAACTCAGACACATAGCTTCAATTATGAAGGCACATTGGCTTGAACAAAAGACTGCTCTGAAGAGAAAGGCAAAATTCTTCTTAATTTGGATGAGGATTACAGAAACAGGAACATAGATGCATTCACAGTACAACAGCGGAACAACTAACATGCCCTCCTCTCCTTGTTTTTCAATCAAGTCAGCAGTATTTCAACAATAATGATCAGGCCAGCTTCCAGGACTGAACACAGTTCAGTCCAGATAACACTCAGTAACTAAAGGAAGAGTTCTTGCAGTATTTCTTACACCAGACAGACTTCTCAGGGTATCTCCTATTACTGAATTTTGTTGAAATTCCTCTTTCCTCTTCAGTGTGTTGCTGTACTATATCTGCCTTATAATTAACTATTATATTAACACTCTATAAGAAAATAGACCTATGATCTGATGGATCATGGACAGAACACCATTCAAAT